TGTGTAATCTTGTTTTCTCAAATGTTTGCAGATGATTTCCGTATATTTTGCGGTGATCTTGGCAATGAGGTGAATGATGACATATTGGCCAGAGCCTTCAGCAGATACCCGTCTTTCCTCAAAGCGAAGGTGGGCCGTTTCTTTGATTTACATCCTGTTATCACTCTAAGGCAGTGATTCTCAAACTTTTTTCAATCATGTACCCCCTTTGAAAAAAAAATTCAGCCAAGTACCCTCTGATCAGCACAAAAAATATTTGTTCGGGAAAAAAAGCCTATAAAGAGGTACAGTGCTGCATCATCAGTGTCTGATTTATTAAAACAACAACATTGTAACTGAGAAACACTTAAATGCTACATTTCAAATGTTACCATCCATCACTAAATTCATGGCAAACTAATTTTAACATCATGCAATAACACTGAGACGACATTAGTTGCATTGAACTGATCTTTTTAATAAGTTGTACTTACAATGTAGTGAGAAACATGGTCTTGTGCTTCACTGAGAATATTTGTCATTCTGACAGGGAGGCAACTGCAGTTATTACACTTAGCGTTTTGAAATATGTGTAACTCTAGTCTATTAATGTAAAACCCACACTGCTCAAACTTCGTTACTTTTCCTAAAACTGGTATATTTATCTCTTTTTTTTCTTCTTTTTTTTCTCATTAACATAAAATAAATCTCACGTACCCCCTGCAGTACTCCAACGTACCCCTAGGGGTCCGCGTACCCCCATTTGAGAACCACTGCTCTAAGGCACTAATTACTTAAAAAATTACGTCCTTTCCTATCAGGGCATTTTACTCACCAGCCCCATGAATTGATGCGAATACAACGTGTATTATTTAAGCTTATCAGAGACATTCTGAACATGACAACATTTGATCAGGCAGGTAAATGCTGTTACTGCAAAACAAATAATTGAGTAATGCAGGAGGCAAAATCAGGATGTATAGGTGAGAGACAGATAATGAACCCAGATACAACATTCAATAACCCAGATACATTGAAGTTTGACATAAATCTAAATAGCTTTTTCCTGAGCTTTCCCAGTTTGCAGACTTCCTTAGCATATGGCCTTTGCTCACTGAGCCGTTAACAGAGTAGATGATGTGTCTGTTTCTCGGCTCTGTGTATGTAGTGGACACATAAATAATCAGAATGATTGTCCTCAGGTGGTGAGAGACAAACGAACAGGAAAGACTAAAGGCTACGGCTTTGTCAGCTTCAAAGATCCCAACGACTACGTCAGAGCCATGAGAGAGATGAACGGTCAGTCCTTTCATTCATGTCTTTGAGGATCCAGTGGGTGAATTCAACAGTCATACTAAATTCTTCCTCTGCTATTTCCAGGGAAGTACGTCGGCAGTCGTCCCATTAAACTGAGGAAGAGCATGTGGAGGGACCGCAACATGGAAACGGTACGCAAGAAGCAGAAAGAGAAGAAGAAGCTGGGCCTCCGGTAGAGACTGTGTGTGCTGCTCAGTGTACAAGTATGACATTGTAAATGCTTTCACTCTTCTTTTTTTTTTCATTAAATAAAACTATTTCTTAGTTCTTGATATGGTCACTTTCAATTTTACCGGCTGTGTTACTCATTGAAGTACTGTAGGAGTTGCTGTATTTACATCATCTTGCGACATGAGGTGAAAGAATGGCACTACTTCAAATACAAATCAGAGTCTTTCACTTTTATTCATGAGCCCAAAATACCAATACGGATGCAATGACAGAATAATATGAAAATCATTTGATGTCAGGTCATATTGCCCATCAGTCTCATGATATGTTTCAAGTAATGAGGAAACGGGACAAATGAGGCTTTACTGAAAGTGCAAGTCTTCAGTAGGCAATAATCTCTTTATCATTGTGTGAATTTCAACATTAACACATCTTCATTCTTTTATGATGTTAGAATATTACACTCATTTGAATTCTACACTGTGGTACCTTCAGCATAATGTATATTGATCATCAGTGTTGACATGTCCAGGTGAGGCTTGATGCAGCCCTGTAGCATGACTGCACTGATCCACACACAACATGTCCGCTGGTCACACTGATGATACATGAGTAAGAATTCATGTTGAATGGGTTTGAAAAAAGAAATTGTACTCCCAACGTCATTATCAAAATATCTTCTTTGCTCACACCTGGGGAGCAACACTGTCTGTTCTGTTCCCGTGGCGACCAGCTCCATCAAACTGCAGCTCCTATCAACTCCTCCGCAGCTGTCCGTCCACTAAAGATGACATCATTCACTGACACTCCATCATACGAGGAACCAATCAGAGATAGCGATAGATTGTTCTCCTTTATCAAGTGACGCATGTACTCTGTAAAGAAAATTAGAAGGATTAAAAAAAATAATAATGCTTCACCAAAACTTGGGATCATTTTTAACATATGAGTCAATACTCACCAACTTTTCGAAAATGTCCCATATAATACTGAGGTATGCAGTCCTGAAGAGAGAAGAACAGGACGATTGCATCACTATTAAAAAAAATGCAGTTTGTTTTGAGATGACAAATATATAACGGATGTCACAGAATCCTAAATGCGCTTCCGACAGGACTTAGAAACGGGTGTATTTCCACACACTGGTGCTGTACCTTCTGCAGGGCCACCCAGGTCCAGCAGGGTGCTGAGGTGACTCCCAGCTGGCTCCGCACCGCCTCAGTGGCCCTCGCTAAAAGACACTCATCTGTTACAGTTTCTGGGGACCCAAACACTTCCTGGAACCAGGCCCCGCCCATCATCACCTGGAAGACAAGGCAACCTCAGGTTAGCCAGATGACTGAAGTGTGTGTGAAGATTAGTGTGTTACCATGGCAACTTCTGCTGCAGACCCAATCCCCACATGGTTATGTTCAGAGATTAGGCTTGAAATCAGCAAATATAACGCCATTCACTAACTCAATTCTGAACAAAGAAATCTGAACAAGAATACTGTTTTATGATGTCTGTATTTTAACCGACGGTATCATTGTGTATTCATTTGTTTCAGTTTCTTTCATCTATTTAGTTGGGTGTATTTTGTTTTATAATACTCATAAAATATCTCCTCTGGTGTTATCTAAACATTTGCCCACACTTGCTCTAAGATATACCTCCTATAAATTCACAGATGGCATACATTTATAATTTACTATTATAAATTAGTTTTAACATATTCTTTATTTTGATTCTTTGAGTATTATTGAGTGTCAGACCTAAACGCAGATTTTGAGTATATTGTTTAAATGAAGTTTTAAGAGCTGTAAAATGTGCAGTTGGCACAGATCGCACCGCGGTTAATACAATATATTAATTGTGAGTTCACCCGATAAGTACACTTCTAGCATTCCTCTCTAATTTGATTAAACAGATTGCCTTATACTGTATTTCAAACACCCCCTTTCATGAGAACCACACAGAGCCTGGGATCACAAAAACACTTGATAACCAGCTTCTTGGTTCTTGTTATCTCTGATTAGGAGTCTTAGTTTAGTCGAGCCAGCCAAGTCAGAGAAACCCTGGCTCATCTGAACTTGGTATGGCCCCTGTTCTGAGTATTCCCTGTTAGGATACAATCACATTCTGTGGCTTTTATTTTTGAAATATTGTTCATTCCATTAAAAAAAAAGGAACTACTGTGTTGACTCAGCATTCACCCCTTTAATATGTCAGATGTTGTCTGCTGGGCGGCCACACAACCTGGGTTTGGGTTTTTCAACACTAGCTGAGGATGGACTCATAACCTAATACTTTATTTAAACAGAGGATTGGAAGCTTTGCTCCCAATGGCATGGCCAACGGTGAATGTGTGTGTGAGTGTTAGTTCCTAGAGAGAGGGTCACGCTCCCATCGCCATCAATGGGACTACTGTAGAGAGAGTCAGCAGCTTCAGGTTCCTCGGTGTCCACATCACTGAGGACCTGACATGCACTCATCACTGAGGACCTAACATGGACTCATCACTGAGGACCTGACATGGACTCATCACTGAGGACCTGACATGGACTCATTAGATTCCTGCTTTGAATGGTGTGCTGTCGATGGGATTCATTCCATTTCAAAGTGCTTTTTGACGCTCCGTGTAAACTTTGCGCACTGCCACTCCAACATCCAATCGTAGAGCTTGAGGACTGATCACGAGGTTTGTCAAGCTTAGCACATGAGAGGTTTCTCAATCCTCAAATTTCCCCTCCTCGACTCCTCGACTCCTCGGTCCTCCGGTAGTGACCCGGAAATGAATTTCAGCCCGCCATTTTGAA